GCGTTGCTCACGAGGACGGTCAGAGTAGCTTCGTTGGTCGCGATGTCATGCTGCGCCCTGTTAACGCTCTGTTGTATGCCACGTATAGCAACGCTAGCGTGGTGGGCTCGCTGGGGGTAGCTGCCCAGCCGTTGCTCGAAGTCCTGCATTATTCGGTGGTGTGCTTCGCGCTCGTGATCCAAACGGGCGAGTGGTTCCTCCGCCCGTGCCTTTTCGGCGTCTCTTGCATGGGGGATCTGGGCGAGTCGTGGAGGCGCGCGGTCTGCCGCCACCTGCACCTCGGCCATTCGGGCTTCGAGGGCGGCGAAATCGCACGCAGACGTCGGGGTGGCCAGCTGGTCCGTCTGGGCCCGTGCAACGCGCAACTCAACCAGCGCGCTCCTCGCGTCAGCCAACTGCTGCTCGGCCGTGGAGGCCCCGGTCCCAAGCGTTGGCACACGCCCCTCGGAAGCGTCAAGACGTTGAGCGAGGGCCATCTCGGCACAGCGCAGCTGGCCGTGCAACTCACGCGTAAGCGTGGCACGTCGGCAGTGTAGCGTGGCAGTCGCCATCACAAACTGGGCACGAAGTGCGTTGATGTCCTCGCGCGGTTGTTGGCCCGTGGGCCCATGCACCTCCATAAGCGGGATATGTCGGGCCATCAGGAGCTCGCCGTGCAATGTCCTAATGGCGGCAGCCCCGATGTCTCTGACACTCACGAGTTGAGCCTCCATCCGCAGGAGGTAGTCGTGGAGCGTCTGCATTGTGCTGGAGTCAGAACCTCGGCGGGGCTCCATCTGGACAACTTGATAGTGGACCTGAACGATGATCGATCGATCTTCAGCGACCCGAGCGTCGACCAAGGCAAGAGTTTGTTGAAGCTCCTGTCTGTGGGTGGCCGTCTGCACGGCCAGACCCGACAACTGTTGGGCGTGTAAGTTGCAGCCCGGACTCGAAGCTCCGCCATGTCAGCGGCGGCGGGAGAAGCACGTGACGCCATGTCGCGCGGCGGGGGGCCATGCCGTGAGAGCCTCTGGGAGGGGCTGCGGCTGGTGCCCCGAGTAGGAGAGCGAATGTGACACCATTTTGTCTGGAGCCCATCGCTGAGATGTCCGCCCTGTGCGATTCCCCATGGCACGCGCAAGCTAAGGTGCAGACACGCCAGCGGGTGATGTGACCTTACTCCAGCGGCGGGGGCGCGCGAAAGCGTTGTCTGGAGACACGTCGCTGGCGCTGACGCTGCAGGCGCCCCCACCGACGCGACGTTCATCAGCGAAGGTTGGGGAAGAGGAGGGAGGTGAGGCGAATCCAGCCGCGACTCCAAGGTCAACTGCAGGTGTTCCCACCGGCACATGACGCGTTCCAATGGACGCATCAGGTGCCGCGACATGACGAAAGATCCTCGGCGCGCGAGCGCGCGCGGGAGGCGGCGGCAGCGGGGAGTCTGGTAGAAGTTCGCCAAGAGCAGCCGCGAGCGAGGCGGTGCTCCCTTCTCCTGAGAGGGGGGGCGATGGGCATCACAGATTCTCTTGCCTCTCCGTAGTGTCGTCGCGCCCGCGCGCCGTCGATGACGCCGCGCGCATGAAGGAACCGCGCCCCGAAGGGGGCAGCGCCGTGCGGCGGGGCCAACGATGACGCGAGTCGCAACGGCGAAGAGCGCAAAAGAGTAGGCCAGTAACCTGTGTATACGGATACGACCGAGGGGTCGATCCTATACCTGAGTTCGTAGGTAAAGGCGAAGGAGGAAGAGGTTAGCTGTTCTTTCATTTTTTCCTGGGCGCTGCGCAGAGGGCAGCGCGGTGTGTGTGTGTGCGTGTGTGTAAATACCAATACCTGAGACGATAAGGTAGCGGTATATGCCGGCATAATTGTAACATGAGCGGACCTCGCACAGAGTTGTCTCCCGACGTCTCCCGTTGTCTCCAATTGTCTCTCGTTGTCTCCCGTTGTCGTCCGTCGTCGCCCGGTGTCTCCCGTTGCCTCCCGTTGTCAAACATGTTTCCCGCTGTCCCTCCGTTGTCTCCCGTGGTCTCCAATTGTCTCCCGACGTCCCCTGATGTCTCCCGCTGTCTCCCGCTGTCTCCCGTTGTCGCAAGCTGCCCTCCGTTGTCTCCCGTTGTACCCCGTTGTCTCAAGCTGCCTCCCGATGCTCCTCGTGGTCTCCACTTGTCATCCGACGCCTCCCGTTGTCTTCCGTCTCCTCCCGTTGTGCCCCGTTGTCTCTGGTTGTCGCCCGTCGTCGCCCATTGTCGCCCGTCGTCTCCGGTTGTCTCCCATTGTCTGCCATTGTCTCCAGTTTTCCCCCGTGGTGTCCTCCCGTTCTCCATGTATCCCTCTGCGTCGCTCTAGGAGTCTCCGTCTGGCCACTCTCCGCCAGAGTGTGAAACTGTGTAGTGCCTTCTGCCGCAAGGGTGTGATCTCGGGGGAGCTTGGGTCGGTTTGGGGAAGGCTTGGGCCCGTCTTCCGGCGGTCTTAGGCGGGTCCTGGGCCGTCTTGAAGTTCCCTGGGGCCCTCCTGGGCTGCCAGGAACCTGTCTGGGGCGGCCCGAAGGCCGTGCGGATGTCAACCCGAGGCCGCGGTGAGCCCTCTGGGGTGGCGTAGCGAAGCGTAACAAACAAATAGTTGAAGACCTTTCGGGCCGCCCTTGGGCAATTTCCAAACCTATTGGGACAATGAGGGAGACATCTGGAGGCCATATTGGGACAACTGGAGCCAGTTCAAAGCCACCTGTGGCCTTCTTGGGGGCGTCTTTGAACCATCTCGCGTCTCCCCTCCCCTGCGCTCCATTGAGGAAATCGGGCCCGCGCCCAGGCTCCACCTCCGCGACCTCACCCTTCTCCTCTTCACCCTCCTCACGCGGCGAATCGCGGGAGGGTCGACAGGCAACCGCAAAAAGACCAGACAAGGCAAGATTCGACAATGCAATTTCAATACAAGACGTTAAAGCCAACATCACCCGCTCTAGGAAACTCCACTCCATGCGCGCACCCCAGAACGGTGTAAGATCACTTGCCCCCCATGCTAAATCCATGGACGTACGTGTACACGTGTATACTGTATCAACATGTACAATGGATTTCCAAAACGGCGCTTGCCCTTAGGGACTAATAGGAAGAAGCTGGGAAAATACTAAAAGCTGGAAGCACAATGGACCGAGCGGTTAGAATAAAGAAAATCGCGCCCGCGTGATCCCGCGCAAAGAGAATAAAAAAGGAGCCGAAGCCCGCCCCCTCCCCCAAAAAAAATCTTCTAGTAGCCCAAACCCCAATCGGCCCTGCAACGACCATCGCGCGACGACAGTGGAGGGGATGCCCAGAACGTAAAACAACAAAGCAATCGGACTATATCTGGGGGCCTCCGTTCGGACCAACGAAAGTAAAAACAGAAGGCAGCCCGCAAGCGAATAAAACAAAAGCACCGGCATGGCCCACGGGGTCTGCCTTCGGCCGAATATATATATATATATATATATATATATATATATATCGGTTGGGGGGAGGCGGGGTTGCGGAAGCACACAGGACAGGGGGGCCTCCAGAGGGCCCCATCCTTTTTCCACGTGGCCATAGCACTTTGACTTGGATCTGAAGGGGCCTCGACTCCACTGTCCGCGCCTCATCGCGCTCGGCTAGGGACCCAGGCGGTCGACCCAAGAATGGTCGGCGCAGCGGCGTTCCGGGCTGCGATCTGAGGGAGTCGAGGCCGCTCGATCCTTGCGGGTCTTAGCAAGGTTGAAACAGTCGCCAAGGGTGGTGGCGGGCGGGCAACAGCGACTGCCATGCAATCTCTTTACGGCCATGCCTTCTCCGCACCCCTGATCTCCCACCCCCGACTTATCTACCGCAAGCGTCTATATACACGCGGTTGGGGGGATGCGGGGTTGCGGAAGCACACAGGACAGGGGGGCCTCCAGAGGGCCCCATCCTTTTTTACACATGGCCATAGCACTTTGACTTGGATCTGAGGGGGCCTCGACCCCACTCTCCGCGCCTCATCGCGCTCGGCCAGGGACCCAGACGGTCGACCCAAGAATGGTCGGCACAGCGGCGTTCCGGGCTGCGATCTGAGGGAGTCGAGACCGCTCGAATCTTTCCACCCGCCCCGCCCTGGCTATTCAGCCGAATTCCTCTCTGGTCCGAGAGACAAAGGAGGACGAGTAGTGACCGATCCATCTCTGAGTTTCGCCTCTGAACTGCATCTCGGCAAGGCTGGCGGCCCCGTCTTCGATCTATATCTTGGCTGTTCTGATGGAGCTCCATCGCCCACGCAACATGACGCGCTCAAGGTTCTTTGACGATAGATATTCGCGCGTGGCCCCGCCTCGACGAAGGCCGCACAGAGTGAGGCGAGCGCGGCGACAGCCCACGCCGGCAGCAGCACGCTTAAAGGCGACGTGAAAAGACGGGAGCGTGCCGCTCCAAAGTTTGCCGGCAGGGTCCAGCAACAGTGCACGGTGCACCCGGGCCCCTATGTAGGGATCGTCGATGGTGACGGTCTCCCGGGCGCCTTTCTGGGCAGCTGTTTTGGTGGGGCCGATCTGGACCGGGGCCCGGTTCAATCCAAGGATCTCACCTGTTCTCAGGCACAGGTGGAAGCCTCCAAGAATGCAGGCAGCCAGGGCGAACTCATTGTGCTCGAGCGCCCAGCCCGCCATTGCGGCGGCGACTCGAGCAGGCATTGGAGGCGCTCGGCTCGGCACCTCGAGGCGTGACCACACCGAGAGGAGGCGCCAAGCCCCAGGATCCTGGCGGCGCGAGCGCAGAAAATGTTGCACTCCTGACAAAGTGTCGTCCGCCTGCCCCTTCGAGGCTCCGATGCTCCAGAGATACTCAAGATAATCTTGAAGGCAGAGATCCATTTCGCCCCACGTGACTGGCAAAGAGAGATGCGTAGCACCCAAAAACTCGACAAACTGCTGGCATGCGCGCTGGTACTTGTTGCGTGTTCTAGTGTTCACGCGCGCGTCGGCCAGACGGCCAAGAGCAGCTCGGGTAGCACGCCTCTCCTCTGGCGAAGTGCGCCTACCCATTGGGCAAGCGGGATGGCGCATCCGCAGGGTTCTTTGCCGATGAGGTGAAGGCAAAGACAGCCCGCGATCCGAACGCCAGCTCAAGGATGGAAAAGGCGCGCACTACCTTGTTGAGCTGCTGACTCGAAGACCGGCGCTTGGCAAGAGCACCGATATTCACCATGCTGTCGAGCAGGTGGAGGAAGACGCACATCTGCCGTGAGACCGAGCGGGCCCGCCAACGCAGGGCCATCAACGCAGCCTCGCACTCTAACACATTGATGTGCTTGGCTTGGTCTTGCCAAACGAGCTGGCGCGCGACCTTCCACTTCCAAATGCCAGCATCGATCTCTCGCCGTGGGAACATCTTGCCATGCGTCTCCGCATCGGTATCCACTCGAAGGTCAGCGCCCGAGTGGTGGCACGTCATCACCAGCGAGGCCACCGCCTTCTGGTGCCCCAGGAAAGGCCGCGAGCACCCCATGCCACGCTGCTCCAGCTCCGCCAGTAGGACGTCCGCGTGGCAGGCCTGGCCCGAGGGGCAGTGGCGGAGCAGCCGAGCCCCCTCCAGCTCTCCCAGCTGGTCCAGGAGCTGGGGCTGGGAGCGCAACCAGACCGCGAACAGCGCCACGGCGTCGCCGGCCAGCCGCCCTGGCACCACGGGGTACGGGTTCCCCCACTTGGAGGGGGCGAGCCCCCAGCGGCGCGACCCGCGGCCGACGTAGACGGCGCGCGTCACCTGCCCATGGCCAGCTGCGGGCACGCGGCCAGCCTCCTCCAGCAGGTGCAGGTTCTCCTCGCACACGGCCTCGCGCCCACACCGCAGCGTCTCCACGTCGCCGGCCCAGAGCTTGCGGCCCATCGACCAGCTCCTCGAGCTCTCGTGGAGGCATCGCAGGGATGGCACCGCCACCAGCAGCGAGTGCTGCACCGCCCAGTGGCTCAGCAGCCAGGCCACGACCTCGCACTGGAACGAATTGCCCACGAGCGACCGCCGCATGGCCTCGAAGCGCTCGGGGTCGCTCTTGGCGGCGGAGCTGCTCATGCAGGGCGCGGCGCGGCCCCGCCTGAACCCCATCAGCACCTCGCGCTCCGCTGCCCGCGGCGGCTCCTTCCGCCCATCCGCCCAATGCAGGCAGAAGCAGTCCCGAAACTGGTAGGGCGGGGCTGCGTAGCCCGCTGCTGTCCAGCGCGCCACCTCCTTCGGCGTGCACTGGCGGAGCCCCGCGGGCCGCGGCCGAGGCGAGCTCCGCGGCGTCCAGCGCACGAAGGTCGGCAGGCGGCCGTCCTCGGCGGCCCCGGGCCAGGTGGCCCCGCGCGGCAGCCACTCCGAGACGGGCGGCAGCTCCGTCACCAGGCGCGCTCGGCAGGCCCGCGGCCGGGCGCCATCCGCCGCCGCCTTCATCTCGGCCGACATCTCGAAGGAGCGCAGCAGGTCCCACGACAGCCAGCACAGCCGCGGGCGGCGGACCCAGCCCAGGTCCGCGACGTCGAGGGACACCGGCACCCGGCCGAACACCTTGTTCAAGGCCAGGACCTCGTCCTCCGCCATGAACGCCACGTTCCCCCCGAGGAAGTCCACCGTGGCCTCGGGCAGCTCGCGCCTCAGCCCCTCGATGAGCCTCCAAATGTGGCCCACCAGCTGCGACCTCGGGCCCGCGCTCCCCTCGCGGGCCACGTTCAGCACCGTGAAGCCCTGGCGCGGGAAGCCCCCGATCACGATCACCTTCGTGACGCGGCCGTGGCCCCGCAGGAGGCGTGCCAGATTCGCAGGATCTGCGGCCGTGACGTCTCCCAGGTGCACGGTGCTGGGGCACGCCCGTCGAGCCACCCGCACAGCCTCGGCGTCAACCTCGAACGACAGGTGCGCCGCGGGGACCAAGCCCAGGATCTCGAAGGCCCGGCGCGCCCCGTCGATCCCTGAGAAGACGGAGATCAGCGCGACGCCCTCCTCACAGGCGGGGTTAAGCGCCCGCGGGCCTCTAGCCCCAAGGGCACGGCCCATGTCTGACAGCCCCTGGGAGTAGACGATCGCCCCCGCGGCCCCCGAGGCGTCGGACGCCGTCGCGAGGTGGTCGACGGTCAGCCGCATGTCTGCCACGCTGAGCGGTGCGAGCGCGGCCGCGATCAGCAGGTCCTCGGCGACGCCCAGAGTGACGAGCCCGCCCGAGCGGCCCGACGCCAGCCACTTCCAAGCGTTCACGAAGGCGGCGGCGAGCGGCGGCCTCCGGCAGCACTGCGCGCGAACCCAGCGCCCCAGCAGGATCTGCGCCAGGCGCCTGCTGGGGCGCCTCTTCGCCAGGAACCACAGCGTCAGGCTCGCGAGCTCCGTGACGTAGCCCCGCGGCGGCCGCCGCACGCCAGCCTCGCCATCCACGAGGTCCCCCAGCGTGGACACCTGCTGGGCACGGTGGACATCCTTCCCCGGCGATCCCGGAGACTTGGCCTCCTCGTAGCAGGTCGACGCCCGGCTCAGCAGCTCGGGGATGGCCCCCTTCAGCTTGACGGCCTCCTCACTCGACACGATCTCCGCGATCTCGAGGTTGTCGATGTAGATGAACCACATCGCGATGCCGTCTGCCTGGGCCTCCGCAGGCAGGCGGCGGGCGCGCGCCACCTCGGCCGCGGGCGGCAGTCCGCGGGGGGCCGGGGCCGACCGCCTCAGCATGTTGCGGCGGAGGTGCGTCGTGACCCCGACCGCGCTGATCCAGCCCATGCCGATGACCCTCAGCGCGATACGGGTCAGCCCGTCGCCGCTGCCGCCCACCAGCCGCCGCGGCACCGGCGGCCCCAGCGCCGTGTAGGGCCACCAGGCGGGGGGCGCCCTGAAGACGTAAAAGAACGCCTTGCGGTCCGCCCCGCTCCAGAGCAGCTGCTCCCCTGGAGCCGGCACCAGCCCGTTCAGCTGCCCCATCGTCGGCGCGACGGGGGTGTCCCCCGCGACGGCGCGCTGGCACGCGTTCGCGGGGATCAGGTTGACGATGAGCCGAAGGACGGGCCGCTCCTCGCCATCGCCGCAGCGGACTGGCGCGTCATGCACCTTCGCCACGCCGAAGGCCCCGTTGATAAAGGGGACCCCGTCTCTGGTCGCGATCTCGTCCTCGTCGGTCGGGCCAACCATCCCGCGAGCAAGCGGGGCACTCACCACCTGCCCCCACTCCTGCGCCGTCGCCCAGACGCGCGTCGAGGTCGGCGCGGAGCGCCTCTGAGTCGGCGGCAGGAGGACCAGGGAGGGGTCCAGCGGCGCCGCCCGCACGAAGCCCGCGGCGAGATCCGCGGCCTCGATGGAGGCGGCTACCCCCACAGGCGGCAGGCCGCCCTCGATCTGCCCGAGCGTGATCTTGCTCAGCGTAGAGACCTCCGAGCCGTCGTACGCGATGGCCCGGTCCTTCAGCTTCTCGGACCAGTCGAGGGCCCCGGCCACGGCGGGCTCGGGCGCGACGCTCTAGTAGATGCGCCGCGCAATCCCGAGGAGGGCCGAGCGCTGGGCCCTGGGCCGCGTTCGGCTCCGGCCCGCAGACGTCCGCCCACTTCAAGTGACCGTAGCCAGCCTCCCAGTTCATAGCCATCACGATCACCCTCAAACGAGACTGTAGCGAGGCCAGGTCGCCTGGGTCAATCTTCTCCTCCACGGTGAGGTCCGAAGCTTCGAGATCGGGACAGGGCATAGCGGTGGCAGGTCACGCAGCAGCCGCCCCCGTCTAGTTGGCCGATGCCCGCTGTGCATAAACCTGTCCACGTAGACCCCAAGCGACCCTGGAAACTCTCGCATCAGCTCCTCGAGGATCGGGCCCGCATCCAGCGGGCGGCGGAAAGACTCGGCAGCCGCCCCAGCCTTCTCCTGCCACCTGCGGAAGAGCTCCGCCAGGGGGGCGCCCGCGTCTGGCCACGCTGCCTCCGCGCGCGCCGCCTCCTGGCCTGCTGCCAGCGAGTCAGTTGGCGGCCCTGGCTCGCCCACGCGGTCAGCACGAGCTCCAGCTGGGCCCAGAAGGCCCGCATCCTCACGTGCATCATCAGCTGAGCGCGCCCGAGCCCCCAGTGCTAGCGGCCCTTGCCGCGACCCTTCCAGGGCGCCGGCCGGCCGCGGCCAGGCAGCCCTCCTCTCGGCGCCCGACGCCCGCGGCGCTTGCCCCTGCCCTTCGGGCTGCCGCCGCGCCCCTGGGGAGCCTCTCCGCCGACCTGCGCTGCCGGCTGGTCCTGACGGAAGGCGCGGACTTCGGGAGCGCCCAGCAGCTCCACGCGGCCCGGCGCCGCCGCAGCGCCAGGGTGGGGGCTGTCCCCGCGGGCCGTCCTCGGGGGGAGCGGCGAGGGAGGCCGTCCCCCGGCGTCGGAAGGGCACTCGGGCGGGGGACCTCGAGGCCTCGCGAGCGGCTGCGGGACCCTGAGGCCCGCCGGCAGCCTGGCCCGCGGCCGCCGCAGCTCCGCCAGGGCGGGCAGCGCCACGCCTCGTCGCGATGAAGGCCCGGCCGCGGCGAGCGGGGTCGCTCCCGCGCCCACGGCTCCAGCTCCGCAGCCGCCGCCTCCTCGGGACAGCGGCGGGGGGCTGCCCCCCTGGCGCGGACCTCCTCCAGCCGCCGCCGCAGCATCGCCGACCTCCGCGCTGACTCCTGCTCGTCGCGGGAGGCGATCGTCGGGCGGATCCCCTCGACCACCTCCAGCTCGTTGGCGATGTGCCAGTTGCCGTCGTTCAGCGCCATCTCCAGCGCCTTGAACCGCTGCATCAGCGCGTCCGCGATCGACGCCAGCGACCCGTCCTCGAGGAGGTCCATCGCTGCCGCCAGCGTCTGGAGCTCGCGCACCGTCCGCCCCCCGACCGAGTGGATCGGGTGGTGGTGGTGGCCGAACACCACGGCCTGGAGGTAGCCCCTGATGCGAGGGCGCACCCTCTGCCCGTCCGCCCCCTCCCGCAGGCCCATGACGCGCGCGATCTGGGCAATCGTTTCGTCGTGCAGCGTGCCTGGGCGCCCGTCGGCCACCGCCTCAATGGCGTTGCCGCGGGAGGGGGCGTCGCGGAAATCCAGCTGGTCACCGCCAGCCCGCTCCTCGCTGTCGCTTCGCGACTGCTCGCGGCGGCGACGGCGGGCCGCCAGCGGGCGAGCTGCCGAGCCGGCCGCCTCCAGAGCAGCCGCAGCCGCCGCGAACCCAGCCGCAGCCCCCGCGAGGCGGCCCCGCGCTGGCGCAACGGCGGCGCCGCCCCCGGGCCCACCGCCGCCTGGCGGTCGGAAGGTCGGCCGAACCCGCGGCTCGACCAGGCTCCGAGCCGACCTCAGGCGCAGCCAGTCGGCGTGCCGCTCGCCGCGCCCGACCAGCCGCGGGACCCTGCAGGCAGCGGCGCCGCCCGCACAGAGATGCAGGGCCCCTGGTTGCCCGGCGCCTGGGGCAGGGAAGCTCAGGTCCAGCTCCAGGGCGCGGGCCGGGAGCGAGGCGCCCCTGAAGTTCACGGAGAGGTAGACCCCGTCGGGGCCCGGCACGCCCGCCTCCACGGCCTCGAAGAGCGCCGTGCCGTCGACCTGGCCCGTCGGGTCGTGCGTGGGCGTCTCCAGCACCGTCCCCGCTGCGAAGGCGCCGTGCTGCAGGGCCGGCGAGCCCACCCAGGGGCCGCCCACCAGCCGCTCCAGCGCCGCGGCGCCCCCGCCGACGGGCGCCGGCCCCGCAGCGGCCGCCGCGCCGCCGCCACCAGCGCCAGCAGCAGCCGCCCCTGGCAGCGCGAGGGGCCCAGGCGCCGGCGGCGCGCCGGGCGGCGGCCCCCCTCCTGGAGCGGGAAGCGCAGCCAGGGCCCCCACGAGGGCCGCGCCGACCCCAGCCACGGCGCCGGGCGGCGCCCCAGGCGCATCGCCTCCAGGCGCGGCGGCGGGCGGGCCTGGCAGCGCTCCAGCCGCGATCCCCAGCGGGGGGGCACCAGGCAGCAGCGCAGCGCCTCCGCCGCCAGGGGGGGCGGCCAGCGCAGGAGGCCCCGCGCCGGGGCCACCTTCTGCGGTTCCTGCGCCCCCTTGGGCGTGGCCACGCCCGCGGCCCGCCGCCACTGCGCCTCGGCCACCGCCGCGGCCGCGCCCGCGGGCGCGTCCCCTGCCGCGCACGACGCCGAAGCCCCGAGCTGCCGCCTTGGCCTTGCCCTTCGCCTTGGCCTTAGCTTTGGGCGGCATCTCGGACGACCTCGTCCGCCAGGCCGGCCAGCGCCGCCAGGAGTGCCGTCAGGTGGCGCGCCTGCTCCAGCAGCACCGCACGCTCGCCCGGCGTCAGCCGGGCCCGCCAGGCGTGCTGCCGCGACAGCGCCAGGAGGTAGCACAGCTCGCACACCTCCCACAGCTGGCCGTTCAGGGCCAGCGCCAACGACTCGTTGGGGCCGAGCCGACCCGAGCACCACCCGCAGTAGCGCCCAGCGCCCAGGAGGCCGCGGGGGCCAGCTGGGCGGCGGCCCAGGAGGTGAGGCGACCGCCTCCTGGATGGGCTCCCAGGCTGGCGGTGGCGGCCCAGAGCCAGGATCAGACATGCCCCGCAGGGCCGAAAGCCTCAAGAGACTGAACCACAACAGCGACTGCCATGCAATCTCTTTACGGCCATGCCTTCTCCGCACCCCTGATCTCCCACCCCCGACTTATCTACCGCAAGCGTTATATATATATGTATTTACATACATACATACCTACATACATGCATACCTACCTACCTACCTACCTACCTACCTACCTACCTACCTACCTACCTACCTACCTACATGCATGCATGCATGCATACATACATGCATGCATGCATGCATATATATACATACATACATACATACATACATACATACATACATACATACATACATACATACATACATACATACATACATACATACATACACATACATGTGTGCACACACATATATATATATGTATATTTATAGATATGCATGTACATATGTATATATACATATATATGTATAGATAGATGTGTGTAAAGGCATCGCGCGGCCCTGCTCCACTGCTCCATCCTCCTCCTCCTCCTCCTCCTCCTCCTCCTCCTCCTCCTCCTCCACGTCCCCCTCCTCCCTATCCTGCCCTGCTCCCTCCTCCTCCTCTCTCCCCTCTGCTCCTGCCTCCCTCATCCGGCCCCGCGCCCTCCCACTTTGACCCGGGCGCGGGCACACAGCGCGAAGCCGAGCAACAGCAGCGCCGCGCCCACTGCCTTGTACCCTTCCGCGGGGAGGCGTCGCGCGCTCGCGCGACTCGGATGATATTCTAAACTCTAAACGGTATTCAAGCGGTGCATGCACAGGATGCTCTGGCGGAATGGGAGTCGAAACCAACCCAGACAACACCAGGGCCATACTACTCTTCAAATGAAGCTGACGGACTCTACGGCCTCCGTCTGACGGCCTCCCCAACTCGACAATTGAGAGACTGAAGGTGGGGAACGCTCGCCCGCTCTAACAGGCGGGGCCGAAACATGAGGTCCGAAAAGGCCCCGGATCGAACATTGGACACATAACCCCCCGCACCCTCGGTGTACCGGGGGAGGGGGGTGCACTGGTACACTGGTACACCAAGGGAGCGAGGGTCGAGGTCCAATTTTGGCAGATTTTTGGAGGGTCGGAGCCGTCCCGTCCCAACAACCAAGACGGCACGCTCGCACGCCACGCTGGTTGTGAATCCAGCTGCTGGTGGTGGCAGTAATTCTGGGTGAGGGCGGTCGGCTGGCAGCCGACGTGCATCACCAGCCCCAGTCCGCCAACGCTCCTTGCAACAAAACGTCGGACCTCGTTTCCCCCATCACTTTGCAGCTCTCGGCAAGCCGCGGCAACGCTGGCCTCGGCCTCGACCGTGCGAAATCCCGTGACGGACCGCCCTCGGCAGCCCCTCCCTCCGCGGGTACGGCCCCGTGGCGATCCGAATAAGGTTCTCTTTTACCCATTGCCGCCGGGCCAGGGCAGAGCGCCCTGAGGTGGCGAAAACCAACCGCATCGTAACGGTCGCATCTGTCTGTGGTAACAGTGCTAAGCCCTCGACAACCCCATCCTGTAGGTGGGCTCGACCGACCTGGAGGAGGAGGAGGAGAGAAGAAAAATACCCCCCCCCCCCAAAAAAAAAACGAGGAGCAGAAGCCACAGCAACAGCAGGAGGAGCATCGCCAGGGCCAGTGGCTGCCGCCGAGAAAGTGATGGCACCGCGATCGAGAGGATGTATGTTGTACTTCCGCCAACTTCTGCTGAACTTCCGCCAACTTCCGCCGGCGAACCCAGCCCAATTTACTTTCTCCGGCTTCCGCCGGCCTGCCCTAGCCTTCCGCCGAAGACGAGAAGTGAAATCATCTCAATCCCTCGAAGGCGAGGCCCTTTCTGGAGCGTCCCGCATGGTGTCTGCTGGTCGCAGCACAAATAAAGGTTGACCACGGAAGCGTGTGTCCAGAGCACGAGCCCACTCGACGAAGGCCCAAGGCTCCATGGGGATACCCAACACAAAAAGCACTCCGAGATGGAGGGCACAATCACGAAGAACCGAAGGATACCCCTGAGAAGCCAAGCGCGTCCTTAAGCTGGTGCCAGCCGTCTCGCGCATGTGCAGCCCAAGATGTGCACGCCTGACCAAGTTCATGGCGGTGCTAGCCTGGCACGCAGCCGAGGCTCTTCAGTCCCGCTGGGGGTCTGAATGTCCATCCAGTCTGCTTGACTGACCCCTAGGTTGAAATACGGATGCAGGCCCGAACCTCTTGGCTTGGGAGCTGCCTAGGGCGAGCCTCACCACCAGTCCGTTTGAGGGGAAAAGGCGGCCCCACCTGGCGGGAGACCCCGCTTCGGTGGGTAGCACTTCTGTCTGCGGGCGGAGGTGGCTCCCACTTTGTGGTGCACCTCCCCCGCTGGGGACCTCGCAGCAAACCGTCCCTTCCTCTTCTCCCCACCCCCCACCGAAGAGAGACGTGGAGCACAGCTGGCTATCAGCCGGCCGCTCTACGGTTGATCGGGAGGTTCTGTATATAGATATAGAGCAGAAGAGGCGTGTGCTTCTGGGCGAAAGGAGAATGAGCGGGAGGCGGAGTGAAGGTGAGGAGGGTGACGATCAGGAGTGCGAGGTCTGCGAGAGTGAGGATCACGCGGGTGAGGATCAGGCGAGCGTGGAGCCAGAGGGTGAGGATGTGGAGAATGAGGGTTCAGGAGAGCGAGAATAACGAGAATGAAGTCAGGAGGGCGAGGATCGGGTGGGTGTGGAGCAAGAGAGGTAGGATCAACAGAGGAGAGCAAGGACCGGCAGAGTGAGGATCACGAGAAGAGTGAGGATCAGGTGAATGAGAATGAGGAGGGTGACTAAATCTTTCAAAGAACTTGCGGGGATGGAGGCTGGCTCTGCAAGAGTATTAAGTAGCAGGCAAGCGGTACCAGTTCTGCATGCATGGGAGGACTCGGAGGCAGCCTTTCTATTCCCTAGCTGCTGGGTGCCAGACATTGTCGCTGAGAAAGCTGGTCCTTGTTGAGCAAGTACAACCATGTTCGACGTATCACTCCTCTGAACTCACATTCTAGACCACGCCATCGAGTACGGCCACGGAGACCACATGGTCACTGAAGTTGTCGATGTTGTCCAGAAAGTGCAGCTGAGACTTGCGACATCACATTTGAAGATAGTTTAGGCGTGGATTCGAATTGTACTCTCCTGCCAAACTTGGACGGCTGCACACGGGCAGCGTTACAGCGAGGCCTGCTAAGAGCCACACTGCAGGGATGCGAAATTTGGTTTTGTCGCGCTTGGGATCTTTGGAAACACGAGCTTTGAACACTTTGGGAGGCAGGGCAGCCATAGACAAAGCCAATTTGTGGCCTTGCGGAATCAGGCGGCTGCAACGTAGGAAAACTCAGATAGACTACAACGGGGTTCCTGCCTTGGTGGACAAGGAAGCGCACCCTGTCACTATTCAGAACCGTTCTTTTCTCCGCTCTGATCATCGACCAGTTTGGTCTGCGCTACGATGTCAAAGTCCAGCTGCTGTTCCCCATCACCCGAACAGGTCTATGACAGCTTGGGCACCGGCGGACGCTGAGGCCTTTCAATCCTTTCAGACGGCGTGCGCGAGTATACCATTCCACGCACGCAGTGGGACGGCCTGCAACCCTGCTTTACTCGAATGGCTGTGGGTACGAAAATGAAGAAATGGACACACACACACACACCACCTTGAAACGCGAATGCGGTCCAGGAGCTCGGGCAGCACGTGGTGAGGTCAGACGCTCTTCTGGCCAAGCGCGCAGGGACTCTGCGTCGGGCCAAACAAAAGAAACCAGCGCCAATCGATGACTTACGAGTCCTGGTCATCCAAGCGCGAGCGCACTTATCCTTTGAAGCTGAAGGTTGATGGGGAAACTACTGTCGACCACAAACTTTGGCTTTCCGAGGGGCTGCATGCTAGCATTCAAAGATTTGCGAACATGCCTGGGGCGCAGAAAAGACGATTGGATATACTTGAAGAGCACGCAGAGGACAGCAAGTGGACACACGTTGCGCACCTGCTATCAAATTCAATGAGGTGCTGAACGGCCAGGCCAAAATGAATACACGTACTGCTGGTGATGAGAACGGAGCCGTGCCCGGAACCTTCAAGGCCATGTCGTACATCGTAGTACTCAGAATATGACGTAGATTTCGTGAACGATAGCAGCATCGTGACTCTGTCGATCCAGAGTCTTGGAAGATAAACAACGTCATAGGAGGGCACCCCTAGGTCCGAAACGCTGTCAAACTGGGTATGTTCAGACGAATTGCCGAATAAATGTGTTTTCGTGAATGGTTTGTGCAGAGTCTGCAACCGACCTATAATGCAAGCCATGCGGACTTCACACATTTGGTTTCAAGGCTGGCATGCGTACTTGCGACATTACCGCTTTAGTGAAAGAACTGCTACACAGCCCAACAACATGGAAACGAATGTACCTCATAAGGCATGGAGGCTGCGTTCGATGCCATGTTACACAGCTCCTTGACAGACGATATGTTGCGGAAAGTTCTTCACCCCGAGAGAGTAGTGCAGCCCTTGAGGCGAGAATGTTCTGGCTTCAGCGCGGGGATGTCTTGGCCTGGTGCTGGCGACACCCTTGCATTAATCTTTTCCCGCTGCGGTAAACCAGGAAGAGTCGAGACACCTGACGAATTCAACCTTCTCGTGGAAAGCTTGATGGTTCTGGTCGTTGCCCACTGGTGTGTGTGTGTGTGTGTCAGCATGCCGCTTCAAACTGGACAGCGGCCGCCTGATCAAAACCATCTGGCCTGGGCCGAACATGTGTCTCATCGCCGAGAACTTGGTGCACCTGCAAGCCATGGTCAAAGATCTTACCGAAGCACTCTCTTCCGCTGGTTTATCGTGGAAGGCCAACTCGCTGGAAGCAATGCCAGGCAGCGGTGCTTGCGGACAAGATTGCCTATACCATGCCTCAAACAAATGAAAGTCATGGGCAGTCTGCTCAATGGGGCGGGACATGATGTCATCATGGTCAACAAGCTTCTGCACAAGGCTGAGCAGTTACTTTTGGCGGCATTCAAAAGAGTTCCTTGGCCAAGCCACGATAACTTAGAACTTGTGAAGGCATGGGAGGCGGGCCCTCGTGCATCGGCATGCTTCGACTGCTCAGCGAGGACGCTCCACAAGGGCCCACTCCAGCGCATCCGGAGAAGGGAGTTGCGCTGGGTTCGCAAACTTTTGCGGCTTCGACACCGTCCCAACGGAGGTACCATGCAGTACTACGTGCGCACGAGCAAGAAGCTTAACCAATGGTTCGCTGGTCCGAATACAACGATGCTCCATGAACGTTTCCTCAGATCCTTTCACAAGTGTGCATGGCGGAAGTGCGTGGTGACGCACGCGGTGCAAGGCAGCTTGCTTTCAGACTTGAGGGTGCAACGCAGCTGGGGTCGATAGGTATGTGTCAAACAGGCCCCGCTCAAGCGACGGCATGCCGAAAACTGAGCCCATGGCAGTCCTAGTTGCGTCTATGAATGGGAGGATAATTAGGTATTGCATGTTGGGAAAGCGCTGGAGGCATCTGAGAGACCAGTGTGGGAACCAAGCCGACTGGAACGCCACATACGGACCCTTTGCCGATGCCCTTTGCGATGCCTGGACACTGCCGTGCTGGAAACATCTGCCAACCGTTCAGACCAGAAGCACCTCGAAGAAGCGACAGTGGATCAAGAATTGGGTACACAGTGGAATGCGCCGCTAAACATATTCTTTTCATCCGTCGATTGCAGCCGTTGCAGCGCATTGTATGCGGCCACCTGGATTTGCCGAACGACATTTATAGGGCGCTCATTCATCGCATCGTTGACAATATCTGCGAAGTTGTCTCTTGTGGCAAACTGCCGCCAGAAGGTGCGAGGGACCCCGTGCACTGGGCCAACCGAAGCAAGAATACAGTGGCAAATCATCTCTGCAACCGCACCATGGACGTCGTCAATGGAGTCTGGAGGGAAGGGCATAACTTGGAGATCCAACCAGGCAACGACACTTCTGTTTTCTAGGATGGTGGATCACGGACGACACTTTCAACAAGCGCAAGGTAAATTACTGCGGAATTGGACAGCATTGGTGTGGAAAGGTATGTCCTCATAGTCGTAGCCGGAATCGATTCCGAGGACCCGATCATTTCTTTCCTGGCTGAGGCAATCGCTTTGGCAAACGCCGCCCTGGAACTGCGACGGTGGTGCAACCGCGTGAGAGACTCGACAACGATCATTTTGTGCATTCTATTATGATGTTCAATGGAGGTCTAGGGTAGCTCTCTGGAGCTTCATCGCTCTCGAAGGAAAGAACTCAAGAAATGAGGAAAGGAGGAGGAGGAGGAGGAAGGATCCAGCGCCGACATAAACCATCCGCGCGGACCTCCCGACATCGATGCTCCGTGCCGTTGCCCGCACTCCTCGAAGGATGGGGGAGCCAATGGGGCCGGCGCCACGGGTGCGCGGAGAGGCGCGCCGTCGGGCGCTTCGGTGGTCGACTCCAAGGGCGGCAGCTCCGCGCCGCTCTGCCTGCGCCAGCCGGCCGCGGAGGGGCGCCGAGCGAGGCGCGGGCAGCTCCCGGGACGTCCTCTCGCTGCGAGAGAATGACGACGGATGGAGCGCAGGACAAGGAACCAAGGAGCTCCTGGCCATGGCGACCCTCGGCCCCGAATAGGTCGCGGACCTAGATCTGAGGAGCGGCCCGAAAACCAGAGCTTCTCCCGAGCCCACAAGAGCCCTCATTTCAGTCTCTTTCCTGCATTTGCCCGGTTTCGGCCCCTGCGGATCCTTACTGGGCCCCGAGGCCGCCTGCATTTGCACAAAAGCAAATGCCCTGGGAGAAAGGCCCAGACCTCTGGGGGTCCACTTTGCGAACGGAAATACGTCGACGTCGGAGATCTGCGAAAGCGCGCCAGCAGGCCCGAGCACAGGAGGGTGTCCTCCCTTAGCTACCCCCTCTTGGCCGTCCTCGTTCAGTATCCCCCCCCTTTCCACACAGCTTTTCGTCCCATGCAAGCTACCCACCCCCTCCCCCCCTCTAGTTTCCTGACTGGAAGCCCCCCCCACCCCCGCTTTCCCCTCCGGCCCGCCGAAGCTACCCGCTTCCCTTGGACCCTCCAGCACAAGGCTCCCCTCCTTCCCTTTCTTTTCTGCTCCACGAAGGCTAGCGCCCTCCTCCTCGCCTTCCCCTGTGCCCCCCTTGAAAGCTACCACCCTTCCCTTGGACATCCGCTGCTGGAAACCACCTTCCCCACATGTGGCTGCCTTTCCGGAAGCCGCCCCCCGTCCCCCCCCCCCCCTCCCTCCGCGGCCCTTGCAAGCTACCCGTCGTCCCTCCTTGGCATCAAGTAATACCATCCTACCCTACTCGTCACAAGACCACGCCTGGGGGGCGAACGCGATACTATCCGACGATCCTCCTCACGTGACCACGCCAGAGGGCGGAACAGACGCTACTCGATTTTACTCGACTCCTCAGAAAGCAACGGTTGGAGAGGCGAAAACAGCACTGGCCAATTATTTTCCCCACGTGGCGACACCGCGGGGCGGATAACATAGTATTATACTTGACTCGCCCCGCGGCAACGAAAAAGGGGGGTCGGAAGCACAGTCTTCTGCGATACCCGTCACATGGTTACGCAGGGACCGCCTGTTTGCCTGTATCTTGTCATTCCCCAAGCAGCGATTGCACCAGGAGGGGGTCTTACTTGTGTTGGGAACTTGCCCTGAAGGTCGGCCTGGCGGCCCTGTAATCGCCGTTGCCGCCCCGTCGCCGCTCGTCGCCGCCAGTCGTCTGGGCCTGATGGCCGCATTGGTGGTAATGGAATCGCCGTCGCCGCCCCGTCGCAGCCTCGTCGTCTGGGCCTGAAAGTTGGTTAGGCGGCTATGTTGTCGCCGACGCCTCCTGGTCGCCGCCTCGTCGCGGCCTTGCACGATTACACCATACAAACTGCAACACATGGGTTCTCTTTTTGTTGCAAATAAATATAACACACAACCAACAAACTACCCCCACTCCCCCCCGGGATTATCCGGCGTCTTTTCAGCATTGCAATTCAAATACGATTCTGCCCCATCGCCCATCCTAAATGTGAACTCGTACCATCCCAGCCGAGCCGGTATCGACACCCCCCGCCATCCTCTACAAAATTACCCTGGCGACGTACCCAACCCCTGCGCAATGCGGGGCATGAGTAGTTTGGGAGACGGTATACGGAGGTGATGACGTGACATGGGCGCATATACTTCTGCAAGCGGCATTCGTGAGGCTCGCAGCCCCCCAGGGATTGCGATGTCCCGCTCAGATCTCGCTCCGCTGGACCCACCAGCAGCCCTCGAAAGTGGCGACAATTTCGCAGATCGCAGCCCCCCAGGGACGGCGAGGTCCCGCTCAGATCCGCGCAGTGCCTCACTCCGCAAGAACCACCAGCAGCCCTCGAAAGAGGCGACAGTTTCACAAATCGCAGCCCCCCAGGGACGGCGAGGTCCCGCTCAGGCCCGCGCGGTGCCTCGCTCCGCAGGAACCGCCAGCAGCCCTCGAAAGTGGCGACATTTCGCAGATCGCAGCCCCCCCCCACAAGGACGGCGAGGTCCCGCTCAGGTCCGCGCGGTGCCTCACTCCACAAGACCCACCAGCAGGCCTCGAAAGTGGCGACGGCTTCGCAGATCGCAGCCCCCCAGTGACGGCGAGGTCCGGCTCAGGTCCGCGCAGTGCCTCACCCCGCTGGACCCCCCAGCAGGCCTCGAAAGTGGCGACAGTTCACAGATCGCAGCCCCCCAGGGACGGCGAAGTCCCGCTCAGGCCCGCGCGGTGCCTCATTCCGCAAGAACCACCAGCAGCCCTCGAAAGTGGCGACATTTCGCAGATCGCAGCCCCCCAGGGACGGCGATGTCCCGCTCGGGTACGCGCGGTGCCTCGCTCCGCAGAACCCACCAGCAGCCCTCGAATGTGGCGACATTTCGCAGATCGCAGCCCCCCAAGGACGGCGAGGTCCCGCTCAGGTCCGCGCGGTGCCTCACTCCGCAGGACCCACCAGCAGCCCTCGAAAGTGGCGACAGGTTCGCAGATCGCAGCCCCCAGGGACGGCGAGGTCCGGCTCAGGTCCGCGCGGTGCCTCACTCCGCTGGACCCCCCCAGCAGGCCTCGAAAGAGGCGACAATTCGCAGATCGCAGCCCCCCAGGGACGGCGAGGTCCCGCTCAGGTCCGCGCGGTGCCTCGCCCCGCAGGAACCACCAGCAGCCCTCGAAAGCGGCGGCATTTCGCAGATCGCAGCCCCCCCCACAAGGACGGCGAGGTCCCGCTCAGGTCCGCGCGGTGCCCCACCCCGCAGGACCCACCAGCAGCCCTCGAAAGTGGCGACAGTTTCGCACATCGCAGCCCCCCCCAGGGATGGCGAGGTCTAATTTGGTCCGCGCGTGGCGTCACTGTGCTGGGCCCCCCAGCAGGCCTCGAAAGTGGCGACAGTTTCACTGGCCTGGGTGCTGGGCCCCCCAGCAGGCCTCGAAAGTGGCGACAGTTTCACAGATCGCAGCCCCCCAGGGATGGCGAGGTCCTGTTTGGATCCGCGGTGAGTGCCCTCTCTGCTGGCCTCCCCAGCAGCCCTCGAAAGTGGCGACAGTTTCACAGATCGCAGCCCCCCAGGGATGGCGAGGTCCTGTTTGGATCCGCGGTGAGTACCCTCTCTGCTGGCCCCCCCAGCAGTCCTCGAAAGTGGCGACAGTTTGACAGATCGCAGCCCCCCAGGGATGGCGAGGTCCTGTTTGGATCCGCGGTGAGTGCCCTCTCTGTTGGCCTCCCCAGCAGCCCATCGAAAGTGGCGACAGTTTCGCAGGTCGCAGCCCCCCAGGGATGGCGAGGTCCTGTTTGGATCCGCGGTGAGTACCCTCTCTGCTGGCCTCCCCAGCAGCCCTCGAAAGTGGGGACAGTTTCACAGATCGCAGCCCCCCAGGGATGGCGAGGTCCTGTTTGGATCCGCGGTGAGTGCCCTCTCTGTTGGCCTCCCCAGCAGCCCTCGAAAATTGCGACAATTTCACAGATCGCAGCCCCCGAGGGATGGCGAGGTCCTGTTTGGATCCGCAGAGTGCCCTCCCTGCTGGCCTCCCCAGCAGCCCTCGAACGTGGCTACCATTTCATACATCGCAGCCCCCCAGGGATGGCGAGGTCCCGTTTGGGTCCGCGGTGAGTACCCTCTCTGCTGGCCCCCCCAGCAGCCCTCGAAATTGGCGACGACTTCGCAGATCGCAGCCCCCGAGGGATGGCGAGGTCATGTTTGGGTCCGCGGTGAATGCCCTCTCTGCTGGCCTCCCCAGCAGCCGTCGAAAGCGGCGACAATTTCGCAGATCGCAGCCCCCCAGGGACGGCGAGGTCCCGTTTGGGTCCGCGGTGAGTGCCCTCTCTGCTGGCCTCCCCAACAGGCCTCGAAAGTGGCTCGCAGCCCCCCAGGGACGGCGAGGTCCCGTTTGGGTCCGCGGTGGGTACCCTCTCTGCTGGCCCCCCAGGGACGGCGAGGTCCCGTTTGGGTCCGCGGTGGGTACCCTCTCTGCTGGCCTCCCCAGCAGCCCTCGAAAGTGGCGACGACTTAGCAGCCCCCCAGGGACGGCGAGGTCCCGTTTGGGTCCGCGGTGAATACCCTCTCTGCTGGCCTCCCCAGCAGCCGTCGAAAGTGGAGACAGTTTCGCAGATCGCAGCCCCCCAGGGACGGCGAGGTCCCGTTTGGGTCCGCGGTGAGTACCCTCTCTGCTGGCCTCCCCAGCAGCCCTCGAAAGTGGCGACGGCCTCGCAGATCGCAGCCCCCCAGGGAGGGAGAGGTTTCGCTCAAATCTGCGCGGCGCCTCAACCCACACGGCGAGAGGAAGGCGGGAGGCGGGAGGCGGGAGAAGGACGCGACCACGGTGCTCTATTCAATACGAATACCCAACCAAGGAGGGATGGAAAAAAGACTATGCGCGCGAACTCGTTCATCAACAATCATCATTGTGCAAGAACTGCGCGCACGCGCGCGTCGTCGCGCGCGCATGCCCGAATAATTCAAAAACCGTCGGTTCCGTACTGATGTCCGAAGCACGTGTTCGAGAAAATATACAAAAACATAACATGCCGCAACACTGATTGATAATCTTTCTTACTAGAAACCAAAAACGTGCGCGCGAGGGTCTTGCGGATTCTTTCGAGAAACACGAGTTGATTAACAGTTTCAGAACATGCTATCAACAAAGCTTCGCGCGCGCATGTCGGCCTCTTCGAACGCCCTTTGCACGCGTGTTGTCGCGAGAATCCTTTCGCCAAAGAACAGGGCGAAGTGCACGCGCGCGCGTCGTCGCGCGCACATGCCAAAATCAGTCAGAAACCTGATGTGTCGTGAACATGTCCCACCCGAATGTCCCGAAAGCAAGCAAAAACACATGGCTTCGCAACATCCGTTTTCACAAAAAACTTGCGCGCGCGCTCCTGCGAATTCCCCATCAAACCAGAAGTGTTTTAACAGTGTCAGTGAATTATGCCAAGCGGGGGTTTCGCGCCGCGCGCCGA